AATCGACGAACGCGGTCCAGACGACAACACAGTAAAATATGGTTAACAATCAATAGCAATTAAAATGTTACATTGTACAATATATTATGAAATGCAATAAAGTAAGCAAGCCGAAACGATCCCTCGAATAACGCCAATATTGTGATAATCTATTGAATTTATTGAATTATTTATTTTTATCTCGTTCGCCATATATACAGCACGCCTGCTTTACATAACAACTCACTAGTGAAACGGATCGTGACTACCTAGGTCCGGGGAATTTCGCTGGATAATCAAAAACACACTCGACATAATTTAACGTCTTATATTTTCCAGCCGTTGTACTACGTGCACATAGTGCGTCAGGGCAATATAATATATAATTTGATATAGTAAAAATCTAAATATTTATCAGTGATAATCACCTAACATTATGTTGTATCGAGTGTGTCAGTGCAATACAATATATAATTTGATATAATTTTAAATCTTTATATTTATCAGTGATAATCACCTTGTATTATGTTGTACAGAGTGTACTGCAGCGCTACGCAGTGGTTTATGTGGGGCATATGATAAATAAACGATAAAAGAAAAACAACCGGAAAAGAAGAAAACACTGCAGTCGTGTTTTTTTTTCACGCACATAATATAATATAATATATCATGGCCACGTAACACTCGACGTAGTACCAAACTCAGTTTCGAGCATTATTAGAGGAGTTGATAAAAAAAAAAAAAACTACACAATAAAAAATACGTTTACGATTGTTTTTTGCTACGCACTCGAACTTATATAGGAAGCGTATCGTTTGGGGATTGGACCGTTCGATTTTCGGGAGGAATAATAATATTATTGTCCGTTATCCTCCCTCAAAAATATAATATAATATCATTATTCGTAGAATCACTGCAATAATATCATACTGGTGTGTGTGTGTCGGAGTGAAAAACCAAACGGATTTGGGAAAATATATTTTGCGTGCACACCGTTTAAGCGCTCGCAGTAAATCGACAGTTTATAGCTACGTCGTAGTGCGCTTCTATAAGGACTTCGCGAATGCCCAATAAGAATATTATGGGATTTACACAGATCGCAATAATTGAACCGGAGTGTATATTATTATTTTATTCACTGTAGCAGCAGACCCCGTTTCAGACGATAAATCGGTCGAGAAACTTGGACCATAACCAAATAGATAACATACATGCACCTACCCACATCTGCAAATACCCACGCGGGGAGGTGAACAGGTTTTATTGTTAATAATTTAAAACTTTAAACGATTATGTTGTTCTGAACGGCTAGACCGTTAAATTAAGTGTCCTTACCTATGCACTATATGTTATTATGTACTTACCACATAATACCTATATATATATATATATATATATATATATAATATTGTTTCTCCTGCAAGACTATTGTGATTATTGTGATATAAAATATTACTATTGTTATTATATTTCAAGGAGTCCCGTGACAAAGCATATCACGTTTGCAGTCCCCGAAACATCTTAATATGCAAATTTATAAAATATATATAGGTACTGTGTCTGTGTGCATTGTGCACGTATGCCTAAAATCGATACCTTTGCTTATTCGTTCGTTTTGTGTGTACTGTGTAGGTATATATACCGATAAAAAGTGTGAACAAAATATGTCAACTGTTTTAATTATATATTATATTTTAAACCTTATAAGAGTTAAGAGGACGTGACACCCGCATGTGTTGTATCCGTCTTACAAGTGCGTACATAGCAAATTTTACGCTCAGCAGAACACGTGTAGCTCCATTAATTTAAAAATTAAAGTGAATTGACCTCTCATAAAATCTAAAGGTAAGATTATTACCTAGGCAACCTCATGGAATTTTTAGTATATTTTAATTTTAAAGCGAGTTATGAGTATTTTAAGGTTTATAAAAAATTTACAATTTTAAAATACCCGTAACTCGCGTTAAAATTAAAATATAATAAAAAGCCCAATAGGTTTCCCGGATAATAATCTAACCTTTAGATTTTATAAGAGGTCAATTAGCTCTAATGTTTAAATTAATGGAGCTACACCTGCACGTGTTCTGCTGAGCGTAACATTTGCTATGTTACGCACTTGTAAGACGCAGACAACACACTCGGGTATCAAGTCCTCTTAAAGCCGATTATGATAAATTCGTATAATTATTACTCTCTCGAATGGGGTTGCAACGGGATGACGGTAAAACGGTATAATATTATATACCTAGGCATTTTAATAAGAAACCTCCGCCGCGGTTTCAATTAAAGTTCTCGCATATGATTTGAATACGAAACACAACATTATATTATGTTTAAATTAAATGAAAACATCCAATTAGGAGAGATCGTATATTGATACGTAGTCTGTACAGTTGTTGCTGCAGTATACGCGAAACGTTATATATTATGACTAGTTTGTTTGATAATTTATGATGACCGTAAGTACTCACAGAGATAATATTTTGAGAACCGTCGAGATAGTTGTATACAAAAATTAGATAAAGTAAGTGTCCACGATATTATGTTTCGTATAATTATTCAAATATTGAATTAGTTCATCAACTCTATTAAAGACCTTTCGTGTCAGCAGGCTGACTTTAATATTAGGTGTATTGTGTATAATTGATTGTGATTTTTTTTCTCCGTGAAAAATCTATTTACAGTTTACATAATATTATGTATTCTGAGTGACCACCCCTAAAATAACAATATTTTCCTTGATCAAAATGAAGGTTGAGATAAAATGTTGTGAATGCCATCTTAGATTTCGTATATTATAGTCTGTAGTTATGTAAATATTTTATAATAATATAAATTATTATACCAAGTATAGTATAGTATTAATATTATATACTCACTATATAGCATAGGTACACGCTAGTATTGTAATTTTTCGGTTTATACGACCAATTCGCATTTCGTATATTTATGTTTAAATATCTCTACTTAATAGTTTTTATTTTGTCGATTGAACTATGTATATTTTAATCCTCGTACTAATACAATAAGCACTGATAAATATTTTTATCCCTTTATTGCAAACAAAATAAATACATCGTGGAGCAATATAATTTTTTTTGATTTTTTTGGCATGCATTTGCTTCATTTGTTAAAAAAAAAAACATTTCAACAAAGAACTTACCCTGGTAATTGGTCGGTATCCTGGTAACCTGGTTCTTTTGGGCTATTCCTTGGCTATTATAAGAAGTCAAGACGGTCCACCGTGATATCATATTGCATAGGTATAGAAACATGGATAGGTGGTAGTCCATACAGAAATTTGAAACAATAATAACCATCACCGATGTCGGTTAATAATGTTATTTATTTTATAAATTGTCTTCAAAACATTAAAAAAGTAAACTAAACAACACACACTTAGGGCAGCAACACAATAGTTTATCAACACTAAATATTTTATCGTATAATATTATATAATATAATTATTGTACAACATGTTTATAGTCAAACCGTAATTAAATTATTTTTCTAACGAAAACAGTCATACCTGAATATCGTATCTACATTCGTACAAAAGTATATAAGGTGGTACATAGATATACAATTGATAATATTATTTAGTTGGCTATAAGATACTTAATAACTAAAGTCGTCAGTATAATATTCTATACAAACATGACTTTTTGAGATTTTTTTAAAACACTTTATATTAGGTACTATGTCATAATATTATAATATGTGCAAAGTACATGGGTACACGTACAACTATGTAATGATTTTAAGTTTAAACTATACAAATACAATATTTAGTATAATATTAATGTGTCGACTAATCGACTTTTTTCGACTTGCGTCGTGTATCGAAAACATAATAATATTATATTCTCTACATATTAGTCAATAATATGTGCCACATACTACATATAAACCTACTATACAGTACCCGTTGTATATAATATGTATACAAGGCTGGGCGTTAATGAGTTAAAAAGTTCAATTATTTTTAACTAAGTCACATAAAAAGTTTGAAGTTTTTTTTGAAAGTATAACGTCTACGTTAAAAAGTAAAAATGTATCCCATGATATGCAGTTACTAAACTACAATTCATTAATAATAATTTATTGTAATATAGTCACGACAAGTCACGTTAAGTTAACTGTTTTCGCAATATGAAGACCGCATAAAATATATTTTATATTGTGTAAATTATAGTTCGTTATATTTGGGAATAAAAAAAAAAAGAATTGTAAAAAATATTATTTAGATATAGTTTTAATATGCTTATATTATGCGTAAGTAGCTAAATACTAAAATATTTATTTGTTATTATTGTCTAAAATGTAGACTGTCGATGTGTTAAATTCATTACCTCTAGATTTAAATAGAGTTCGAAATAACTTATGCAAATAAGTACGCGTTAACATGGCTTTCTATAGAAAATTACATTCTCACCCAAACATATTAGTTTCAAATATTTCAACTATAAAGCTATCAAATAAGTGTTAACTCACAGTTCGAAGTTTATACTTTTATAGAGACATTGGGACCGTTATCGTATAAACAATTTTACTAACCTAAATAATTAATAATCTTTGTAAGTATAGGATGTAATCATTGGATGGCTTTCCTTTCTGTAATTTTAATGTTAATTACTCTTATACGTGTGGTTTTTATAATATAACATTATTATTGTGTGTATATAGGTACTTGAATGAAATTTACTTATATTGTGATTTTCCATAGATTTTAAATATTCAGTTTTTTTTTAAAAAAAAGGTAAGTATACTAATTGATTTTTCTAACTAAGTTATCTGAGGTTATTTTTTCTGTTTACGTTGTAAAATGTATAATAAAGTTAAAAATTAAGGAATGCAACTTAATACACATTTATCTACATAATGTTACGTTAAGTATATTAATTGATGACTTAAAAAAAAATAGTCAACCCGCCCAGCCTTGTGGGATACTTATATATATAAACAGCTTACAATTACCTAAACTTACCTATCTTATATCCACACACGTGACAGGATCAAAAATGGAAAATCGTATTGTTTTTACAAAAACTAGCGATCGGTTTCATAATCTCATCAACGATGGCGAAACTCACCAAAGATCTGGCACGCTTGTCAAAATAATAACGAAATTATTACCATCGAAAACTCGGCGGGCGGCGGTGATGGTCGGGTCGATGCTGTTCGACGATGGATCGTTGGCGGTGGAGACGTCGACGTCACTCGCTGCACCCGTCGCGCGATCTCTGTCGCAGTTGCATCGAAATGACTGACACGGAATCGCCTTCGTAGTAGTCGTCGTCGTCGTCGTCGATGTCTTCGCCGTCAAGATAGTCGTAATCGCGGTCTCTGGCTGCGGCCGTACGTCAAGCCCGGTGCAGCGGCATCAGTTCCAAGTTCTGCTGCAGCGGCGTCATCAGCGACGGCTGGTGCAGCTGTTGCACCGGCGACGGCGTGTGCGGCGGCGAGTGAGTGCGGTGCGCCGCGTACTCGGCGCTGCAGTTGAGCTGTTCCTGGAGCGGCGTCAGCGATCCCGGCCGGCACGCGACCACCGAGTCGACGGATGTGACGGTGGTCATCACCGAACCGCGGTGATGGTTACTGCCACCGCCGCCGCTCTGTCCCACGTCGTCGTATCCACCGCCCCCACCGCCACCGCCGCAGTCGTCGCCACCACCAAAGCCACAGCCGCCCCCGCCACCACCACCCCCGTAGCCCCGCCGGTCCCGGTGCCGTTGCGCTTCGTTGCAGTGGGCCTTGCGGCGGCCGCACGCCACCGGGCCCGTTCCCTTGTACTCGTCCGCGCGGCGGCTGCACACGCCAAACCGGCTGAGCAGTACGAACAGGTCGCGGCGGTACTGTTGTGTGAGCAGCGCGTACAGATACGGGTTGGCGCACGAGTTGAGCGGGTAGAAGAACACCAACAGGATCTTGGTCTTGGGCACGTCGATGAGCGGGTAACCGGCGAGCGCGGTCAGCCCGAAGAACGCCACCGGCGCCCAGCACGCGAAGTCCGTGAACACCAGCAGGGCCATGCGCTTGGCCACCGTCATGTCGGACCGGGCCACCGACGCCACTGCCTCGCGGCCGCCCCTGATCGACGAGTACATCTTTGCGTAGCACGCGCATATCACCACGAACGCGACGCCGTTGAACGTCAGCAAGGAGAACAGATACACTTTGTCGGCGAACGACGAGTTGTCCATGGGCAGGCAAATGCTGTAACGCAACAATAATCACGAAACTATAAATTATCGCTTTGGACGTGCCTAGACATAGGGACATAGGGCTGAGGTGTCATTTTATTATATTTTATATAACAGCACAGGCCGATGCGACGAGAATAGGTTACAAGGATATAGTGAACGCGATATGGCTTTATATAGTTAATAGTTTAAATTTGTGATAAAATTTAAACACTCGAAAAGAAAATATTGGCAGAGGCGAAGGGATCACAAAAAAAGAGAAATTGGTACTTGTTTGGCCAGGGAGAACTGCGTAAAACTAACAGGGGAGAGCATTGCAGGAGATTCAATATCATCTATGCCTGGAGTTTTCTTAAAAAGTTACAATTAGCAACTTGTCATCGAACTGAAATATTAGAAAATTGATTTAAACATTTTTTGGACAGGATATAGTAGGTATAGGTAGGTATAGTCATGAGAAGAGCATTAATTTTTGAGGAATGTATATATTATGATAAGTTACATTTTTTTCATAATTCTAGTGTTACCATAGAGGTGGATGGATCCTAAACGATAGATTCACATTCATTTAGTGGACTTAATGAACACTTATGAACAAAAATAGTTTTTAATGAAGGACGTTGTTTAAGTTCGGAGCACATTCGTTAGATAAAATAAAATAATCTAATCTATATCAATATTGTTATAAATATCATAACTTGAATTATTAATTATTACGTAAATGCCAATAGTTAGCTGACTTTATATTATATAAATTTGAATGTATATTGATTTTTAATTAGAAACCATTATAAAATAATAACACGATTACACAATGTTATTACCCATAAAACAATTTTTAATTTTATATTTGTTTATTTGATGAATGCGTTAGTGCTCTGGACAGAAAACACTAAAACAGTAGTTTTTTTTTGATAAGTGATAAATTTTCAACCAATCATATTTAATTAGCTCATGCCTACCTTTAATTTAACATCATTGATATATATCATGCGTTAATATTTTAATATATTATTTACAAATTCAATGAACGCATATTTTTATTGAAATTCATAATTTTTTTTTGAATATTACAAATGTAATCATTATGACCACCGGTTAATATGATTGTCCCGAAACTAAGTGAGGTGTACAATTATTTGCATATTATATGGCTTGGTATAATATGTGATATAGCTGCGGCAGTCGGTATACTTTCAAAATGTGGTATAAATCTCTAGTGTATAATATTGCTCGAAGACGGAAAAATGAAAAATGCCAGACGAAAAAATACTGCAGATACCCAGGTAAAAAGTTTATTCATTTATACCTGCAGACTGCAGTACACTAAACCGGAGGTTCCCAAATTGAGGGTCCTAAGGGCACCATTAGCTCTTCCCAGTGGAACCACAGCTCATAAGAAATTATTATTTTACTTTTTGTCAATTCCAAACTGAATCTTATGAAAATGCGAGTCACGATTTTCGGCTTGGACTGCAACTAAAACCAAATAGGCAGAACCTGACCTACGACTATAGTTGTCAATAATAATAAATAACCTGACATTTGCAAACACTAGCAATCATTTACATCTCACTTAGTCACGTTCAAAATAATTTTTTTCTTTTTCTTATGATAAGTACAAAAATGTATTAACTTTAGGTTGGCTGCTTAGAATGCTTAGACTGATTATAATATTATACTCTGTAATTATTATGCTCAATAATATGATTTAAAAAAAAAAGGCAGGTAAGTGGATGTCGCTCAGCTGTACAGTAGGTTACAAGTTGGTCATTGTTTAATGGATTGTATTAAACTTGAATTCAATGATATAATATCATTGTATAAGAAAAACGATTCTGAACGGAGACGGTTTGTCAGTCTGGATATTTTATATAGTTATTATTTATTATATTATCATGTAAGTTGAATTAATATTATAATTTTTTATTCGTTTCTATGGTGATAAACAAAGCGTTAGAAATTAAAATCCGATTTTAAATGGTTTTTCGTAATTTTTCGGTGGTTTTTCCCGTGGCATTATATAACTATTAAGAAAATCGAAAAATGACCTCTCTAAAGTACCATCTTGGTCCAATTTGCTAAAAGATAAGGTACTATATGTTGAAATCAAAGCACTCCTTCTGGTAGAAATTTTGTATACAGGATATAAAAAAAAAAAAAAAAATAAATACCATTGTAAAACCACTAGCTTCCTCGCTCCGCTCAGAATCTAAAAGTATGGGGCACTGTGGCTGAATCTGGTTGAAAAAAGGCATCTCAGGAAAAAAAAGTTTGGGAACTGCTGCTGCACTGACCTACTATAAAGCTGTACAGTGATTTCGCCTTTGTAGACCGTTGTGAGCCGTTTGCAAAGGTTCCTTCTCGAGTTTCTGGTTTCAAAAATAATCGAGTAAAAAATACAAACTCATGTGTCTGGTGAAAAGCGGTGTTAGATTCGGTAAGCTAGATAATATGGTGCTCAGTGTACACATTCTCGCTGGGTGTACGAAATAATAATAATATTATGCAAATTCGACCTTAATAATCACCGGGCTCTTTTATTCTTCGGTTGCATGCCGTTCACTCGGCGTCACCATAGCTATATTATTATTATATTATATAATATATATACGTCGCCGAGAGTCGCGGTTGGAGCTTTGTGAAAATTTAATTATATAAAAATGTTTGTTTAATTTCGAAATCGATTAAAAATTAACGGTGTTCCGAATCCCTATACAACCTATTATTTATTATTATAATAATATTATGTCCCCCTGGTAACTGTAGACTTTAGAGGCGGTAATTAAAATTACAAAACGTTCAAAAATAATTATTTTCGTTGGTTAAGTAGGTTTAAGCGCTGACCGAAAAAATAAATAGATTTAAATTTAAAAAATAATTATTAAAACTATATTATAACCTTACACGAGTCATCGAAGAGTACACGTCATTGTTTTACCCGAATACGCCTCATAACAATAATTAATAATATGTACTTATAGTCATTCGATTGCGTCATATCGGTTGTCGGGGGATTTGACGTGCCTCGCAATCATCGTCACACTTGTTCATGTCAACTGTCGGATAATGAAGTGCGTACATTTTTTTCCGTTCTGGAAAACGTACACTCAACAACGTGCGCCAAAGCCAGTTAGAATAAATTAAAATCGACGTAAAAAAAAAGTTATCCTTTTTTATTTTAAACTAGCTGATCCCGTGCACTTCGTCGCCCGTTAAATGGATCAACTCAATACTACCTACTCAAACTTTGTTCAATTCATTAACGTGTATGGTGTTCAAAATTTATCTTATCTTTCCCGTTGCCCTGAATAAAAATTCTGAATCGCAGCAGTACATTATCAGGTAGGCAATCTACCTGCGGTAGATCGCGGACCCCGTGCTGTTTGTACGGAAGTGTATGATTTAACTCTAAAGTATCAAAGTTATACCAAGTTTATTTTGATGTAATACTGTGGATTAATATAATAAATTTGGTTGCTCGTAAAAAATCGCAACTCTTAAAAAAATTATGATTGTTGAACTCCTTTTGGGTGTAATTTTCTGCGGTAAGTGCAACTCTGCCACCCTGGTAAGCATTGTTCAATAATTCGATTTGATGCAAGCTTGTACCTGATCTGCCCGAATAACCAATGGCAACCAATAAATAAATGCTAATTTCTAATGTAGACTGTAACCAATGGCAACTATAAATAAATAAAAATAAAATTTCCAATTTCTATCGTGAATCTCAATGTCCCTGTTTCAGCACCTATTTAAAATGCGAATTTTGGCAAATCCTTTCTTAGCGCACGTCTATATTATAATAGCTATCTGTATGCCAAATTTCAGCCAGATCCGTCCAATGGTTTGAGCTGTGCGTTGATAGCAGTCAATCAGCTTACTGTTTTTTATATACAGATATGGTTGCCATGGTAATATGGACACACACACACACACACACACACACTGACATACTTTCATTTTTATATATATATATTGATATGAAATCTTGGTAACCTTAGTAACCATGGCAACCTTGGTAACCATGGTAACATGGACACACAGACACACAGACACACTGACATACATTCATTTTTATATATATAGATAGATAGATAGATAGATAGATAGATGTTTAGCTATATAATGAGAAATTACAATCGTCTCAAAGTCCTTAATCATAAAACAATTTTATCATCTATATACTATTTTGGATTGGTCCGTGTAGAGATGTGAAATTTCAAATTTGGCAATCGAAATCGATCCAATACACCACGGAGGGATCAAAATAAAAGAGTACCTGTCCACGTGTGCTGAAATTTCGTCGATTTTTCTCGTTAAAAATATCGTCCGAGATGAAAGCTATTAACAATTTTAGCAGCCTACGGTCCGAGATATATTTTTCCCACGAGATTTTATTCGTCGTAAATCGAATCCCCTTCGTCTTGGATTTATGTTCATATTTGGCTTGTGGGTAGTAAAAAAAACACACACACATATGAAATATATCAAATACCGCGTGGTATAAACCAAGTTGTGTGTATTAGCAATTCTAATGGAATGGAATCGTTTGCTATTGTCAAAATAGGATTCTGTAGAAAAATAAAAAATGACGGTCCCATGGCATATAAATTCGTATATAGATATAAATTATATAGAAGTATAATATTAAAATACTATGATTCTGATTAGAAAATTTAATAGAACACATTATGTTGGAGGGACGAACATTGTTTGGGATAATGGTCAAGAAATCCCAGCCCTATAAGTTTTGTCTTATTTTTAATATGAAGAAGAATCATCTTGTACGAGTATTGAATATTAAATAACACTAATTTATAGTTTAAAGTTTAAACAATTATATTCTTAATATAAGCTTGATGGTATTTTGTAAAATGGTTCCTCTATGAGAAAATATGATTATGGAATAACTAATTTATTGTTTGATTCTTAATATTTATTTTATTAAATGGTACATCTCGCATACATATTATAATAGCTATGTCATAATGATTGTT